CGGCCAGGAGCCCCGGTCCGCGCTGGGCCCGGCCCCGTTGTGGGCCTGGCTGCGGGTGGATACGGGGGAAGCTTTGGGGACCCTTTGGCACGGATTTTCCCCATTACCCCCATATTTTTGTCTCCTGGGCAGTCAAAATCCCTCATAGAGTTTTCTCCTTGCCTTGAACATGGGTTTGGCAGAGGCTGTTTTGGCTCTGTTCATCTTCCACATCTATAAAGCACCTGTAACAGTATCCAGGAGGGTGCCTGGGTTATTGCCTTTTTGGTGCCTGTGTTTGTTCCTTCTGCCCGCTCCTCCTGAATTAATTGCTTTTCTCCTGCAGGTTCGGAGATGTTCCCCTATGGAGGTGACAAGGTGGCCGCAAGCGGTTCTGTCACGGAGGTGGATTTGAAACGGCTGCCCGAGCTGAACCCCCCTGCGTTCATGCCACATGGGAACGTGGGAACACCCTTGAAAGTTTTCCTGGAGTTGATCCGGGCCTGCAGGCTGCCTCCCCGGATTATCAAGAAATTGCAGCTGAACTTTCCCAAGACAGGCTCGTCCCGTAGGTATGGGAATGTGCCTTTTGAGTACCAGGACACCGAGACGGTTGCAGGAGAAGGAGTTTATACTGCAGCAGGGGATGAGATCACAGAGGACAAGGGGCCTGTGGGACCATCTGAGATGTCTGAGCCAGTTGCTGCTGAAGAGGATGGGAAGGGACAGGAGAACGAGGAAGCAGCGGAGTTGCACTCAGATGATGTAAGTGGATTTCTCCTGTTAACATCTAAGGTTAATCCTTACGGCTACAAAGCTGTGAGGATCGATATAACTCACTCAGAGGTTATTCTTTTTAATTCTATTGTACAGATCATTTGTCTGAAAATGGGGTTGGAACACGGTTGTTTGAAACTTGGTGGCCAAGCCCTTCAGTACACATAAATGTCTTAGAAACTGATTGTCCAAATCAGGCCAATTTTAGTGGCATAAAATTGTTCAGCTCAAAGGGCTTGGCCCAAAAGGACAAGCAGAGGCTGATGCTGGTGCTCCGGGTGGAGATCTGTGCCCTGCTACTTGGCGGGTTGACCTGGCTCTGCTTGTAAATGATGTGGCTGCAGATTTGGAAGCACATTAGTGTTCTCGAAACAACATGTGAAGCTCTATGAATCCTTGACCTTGGATGCCCCTGTGATTAAAATTAGTCATTTCATGTCCTGAGAAAAATGGTTCTTCTGACAGAGACTTCTAGACAACTGGGCTGGACAGGCTCCCTGCAGACTATCTTGCTCAGCCCCAGCTGACAGACAGTCGTCTAGCCTGTTCTCATTAACCTCTGTCATTAGAGAAATGGTACAATCCCCAGGCAAGCCATTCCTGTTCCTCACACTCCTCGACAGTGTGTGCCAGGATAAATCTAGATGCCAGATCTTCTTTGCTGCATTTTTATTCTATTAGGTGATCCTCGCAACAGCGGCCACAGAGAACACTTTGTTCCCTTCTTTACAAACTACTTATTCAACAGCTGCCTTCAGTCTTTTCTCCTCCGGACTAAACAACTTGACTCTTCTAGTCTTTTCTCCCAGGCTCTGTTTCCTGGATCTCCAGTCATTCTTTTGACTGTTTTTTAGTTGGCTACTGCCTTCGTAAAGGGCCGGGCCCAAAACTGGGCAGCCAGCAGCAAAGACATCAGTCTGATCTATGACTCTCCCAGCAAGCTGCTTCTCTTGAATTGATGGAATCTTTCCTTAAGGATCTTAAGGAAATTAATTTGTCGCTAGTGCTGACTTTATGTACAGCACGCCTGCTCCTTAAATGGGCATCTTCGCGTTACGAATTGGTTGTGCTGCTGAAAGGCTGCTGTGAAGTGGGTGTGATGTGGTGTTTTTCATCACTTCTGTCTGCTGACTCTGAAGGTGGCATTAGTCAGGGGAGTGAGATCATCAGTGCCAGTCATGTCAGTGCCTGAGAACAGCAGGCTGGAACGCGCTCTGTTGACGCAGCTGTTTCGCAGGGAAGGCCTCGCAATGGACCGTGAGGGTCAGGGAAGCAGAGAGGAGGCTGGGCCTTGTGCTGTCACTATTGCACCTTTCGCTGCTGCTTTTGCAGGACAACGATACCTGTGAGGAGTGGGAACGACACGAGGCTCTGCATGAGGATGTGACCAAACAGGACCGTGTGGAGGAGCGGCTCTTTGAAGAGGAGATTGAGCTGAAGTGGGAGAAGGGTGGCTCTGGGCTGGTTTTCTACACGGATGCTCAGTACTGGCGGGAGGAGAACGGAGGTAACAGCAAAGTTTGTCTCGAGTCTGAGTCACAAACTGGCACCACAGGCTGGGGACTTGGGAGCCCAGTCCTGCTGTAGCAGCTAGATCAGATGTTACCCTGTGTGGTTATTCTTGGTCAGGCATCTTACCATCACATTTTAATTCTTCCCCTTCTTATAAAGTCCATAGTTAAAACCTGTAGTTGTTCAACCTGATGGCCAGAGACCCCTCTGGTCCTCCTGGCAGCCTTTTATGCAGACACTGGTTTGTGGCATCCCCAATATGCATTCTATTTCATTTTGTTGGAGAAAATGAGCTCTGCACTGATCTGTTAGGTTTTCTTTGTCAGACTTTCACAGTTACCACCAACACCGATTGTTTCCCTCTCTTGGCAGATTTCGATGAGCAGACTTCAGATGACTGGGACGTTGACATGAGCATCTACTACGACAAAGGTATCTGATCTGAAAACCCTCCTAGGAAGTGGTGGAAATAAGGAATTCTGAGCCTGCAGAATTTCTGCAATGGGGAGCTATGACTCTGTTATCCTTTAAAAGTGTCTAATATGTCAGAGTAGTTAAAGCAGCATTTTTTTTTCATGTTTGGCAGCAAGGCTTGCCAAAACGAATAGGTTCTGCCTCCCTGCTGCTTGGCACCATGGGGGAAATCACAGCAGTGAAAGACTTTTCTGGGTTATGCTGCTCTGATTTTAGCTTCTTTCTTCCTTAGATGGAGGAGATAAAGACGCTCGGGACTCAATTCGGATGTGGCTGGAGCAGAGACTTCGCAATGGTTTAGAGGATGGATCTGTTTCAGGGCAACAGATTGGGACTTTTGAGAAATACACTAAGGTAAGCTTTGGATGAGTCCTCTGGAGTGGATGGAATGGGCCAGGAAAGGCAGTGGGGGTGATGCTTAAAGGAGGTGGGTCTTGGGGGAGCAAAGGGGTTGGATGGTCTAGGGGGTAAAGGTTCTGGGCAGGATGGGGCTTTATCCAGCATCTCTGCAGAATGAGTGAATCCACTGCTTGAGTCACCGTGGACCATAATTGGGCTCATTCTGCCTTGGTGCTGGGGCAGGCTAATGTGGATCCGCTTTTTCCCCTCTCAGGGCATTGGCAGGAAGGTGTTGGAGCAGCAGGGCTGGATCGAGGGGCTGGGGCTGGGGAGCAGCAACTTGGGAATGGCCGAAGCTTTGGACAATGAGGGTCAAAACCCCAGATGCAAGCGGGGACTAGGGTAAGTACCCAGCCTTGTCCTGCTGGCATGTGTTCAAGGCTTCCACTGGGTTGGTAGGGCAGATACCTGGCAGCAAAAGTTGTGGAGTGAGAAGCAGAACTGGAAGGCCATTCCACGGATCTGCCTGCCCTTCTGCAGCAGGCAGCAGGACCTGCCACAGTGCTCTGGAGATCAGTGCACTGCATTTCTAATCCAGAGTCTGCCCGGTCAGATCTCCTTGGAAAGGATTTATGATGCCCTGTGCTTGCAGTGTTAGAGCAGGAGGATGGGACCCATTGCAGGTTCATGCAGCACCCAGACCTGGAGGGAGAGAAGAGCTGTGCAGGAGTTGTGCTCTCGACCGAAGCTGTGATTGCCTTTCCCATGTGTGAAGAGCTTGAATGGCCTGAGACAGAGCTGAGCACCTCCCCTCTGCCTTCTCTGCAGGGGTTTCCAAAGCCTTTGTGCATTTCTGTGTTACACTGTGGGAACTGGCTTTTGTTCTAGAGCCATCACACAGCTAAGAGTAGGATATGAATCGTTTTCTCCCTGTATCCCCCTGCTCCTACAATGCAGAATGTGAAGGAGATAAGTTGGGTGTAGAGGGGCTTCCCACTGCCTCGGCAGTGCTGGACTCAACTGTCCATGCTTCCCTCTAGGTACCACGGGGAGAAACTGCCGACCTTCAGCAAGGCAAAGAAGCCACGGCCGAACGGTCCTGTCCTCATCTCCACCATCTATGATGGCCCTGAGCCCATGGACAGTGGTGACCTGCTGCTCAGGCGACAGCCAACCACTGCCATGAAGTACAGACAGGACATGCCTTTTGTCCGGGCATCCTGTGGCACTCGGGAGAGACCCAGTGCCCCGTTGCACTGAGCACACACTGTCACCGAACGTTTGTACTCGTCCCATCTCCCTCCAGCAGCAGGCTGGCCCCTGCTGCTCTTGGATCTGTTAATACATTTATTTTTGGAAGAAACCAAGTTATAACAAAAACTGCCTTTGTGGGACTTTTTCACAGCCACTATTTAAGCAGTGATTTCCCTTGGCTGAAATGCTTCATCCCATTTGTTCAGTGGAGATGGGGACTGTCTGATTGGTGCTTTAAAGCCAAAACTGGGAGGAAAGTTGCTGCCTAAGACCCGGGGGAGGGCAAGTACAGACAAGGGCGGACGTGGCACGGTAGCTGTCCTGCAGAAAGCTTGCTGCTGGCCTGCAGCCTCGTGTTGCCTGGGTGTGACGATCCTACAGTCCCAGGAGAAACTTGTCTTGATGAAAGCCGCGTCCTGGCAGCCTTCGGAGGAGCTCTGCGGGAGGTGTCTCCCTGCGGTTGGGTGCAGTGGTGCTCCTTTCCATGGCTGTCGGACACGCAAGGCCACGTCCTGCCTGTTTCTTTGACACAGGCAGCCTTTCCCAGGCACCAGAGTCCCTGGTCTCTGTCCTTTTGTGACCCTGCACTGCAGCCTTAGACCTGCATTAGCATTCTCCCTGCCTGCAAGCTCTGACTTGGTCACGTTAGACTGGCCAGACACCCCAGACTCCTTCATTAAGGTTCTAGCCATGTTGCAGAGAGCAGTTTCCCTTTTCTTTGCCAAGTCTGAGCGTGGTTGCAGATGGGCAGCCAGGAGCGCTTGGCCTTGGCTGTGAAGCCGCTGTTGCTCCTGCAAGCTCTGGCCTCCCTTGGAGGGGAGATTAGGCCTCGCCGTGCTCTGTGTGAGGCTCCTTTTACTCCCAAACCTCAGTGGGTTTGTCTGGGCACGTACTGAAACCTGAGGCTTGGTTACAGAGACCTGGGACTTGGTTACAGAGCCTTGGGATGAGTCTGGCTTCTGCTGCACTGATTTAATTAAAAAAAAAAAAAAAAAACCTATCTCTCTGATTCAGAGAACAGTCTTTCTACACATTTTGTCAAAAATCTGACAATTCAGGAGAGACACGTGCAATTTTTATATCACCTTCATTTTTAGATCAGTCCCAATGTGAAGGCTACCTAAAAATAGACTGAACCTAACCTTTCAAATATCTATACTGCTGCATACCAGCAACGCCAGCTCTCAGTGCCTCTCACGGCTTCCAGAGGCTCGTGCTGTGCCTCTCTCCTCCTCTATCCCATGTCGCGAACGGCGGCACCCGAGGAGCTGCTGGCTGCGCTGTGCGGTTCAGGACGAGCAAGGACCCGGGCCCGGCGGGAGGGACAGAGGAACATGAGGGGACGTGGGGGGAAGTTCAGGGAGGAACATGGAGGACATGAGGGGACATGGAACCGGAGAGCATTGGGCACAGGGGCAGCCTGGGGACACGGTGGCAATGGGAGAGGGACAGCGTTTTTGCCAGGGAAGGGACACACGGGCCTTGCCACGTCGAGAAGGACCCAGATAGGGTGAAAGTCACCCCAAACAGTAGCCCCTGCCCCGTGGGTCTCGACAGGGACCTGCATGTGGCACCTGCACGTGGCCACGGTGGGTGGGATAACAGGGCACGTGGGGCAACATCCTGGCCATGGTGCTTTCCCTGCTCCAGTGTTGCAAATTAGCTGCCAAGCTCGGAGCCCAACAGGTCGCTCGTGGGCATGGATAAACCCTCAAATCTGAGCAGCAACTTTTGTGTTACCAGGAGCAGGAAATGAGCTGACATGTCTAGCAGCAGCACAGGGGCCTCGCTGGCCTTCGGGCAGGCGGTGATCGGGCCGCCGGGCTCGGGGAAGACGACCTACTGCCATGGCATGCAGCAGTTCCTGGCCAGGATCGGGCGCCGCGTGGCCATCGTCAACCTGGACCCCGCCAACGAGGTGACGCCCTACGAGTGTGCCGTGGACATTGCCGAGCTCGTCACGCTGCCCGACGTGATGGAGAACTTGAAGCTGGGACCCAACGGCGGCTTGATCTACTGCATGGAGTACCTGGAGGCCAACTTTGACTGGCTGCAGGAGAAGCTGGCCGCCCTCCGCGGTCACTACTTCTTGTTTGACTGCCCGGGGCAGGTGGAGCTCTACACGCACCACAGCGCCCTGAAAAACGTCTTTGCACAGTTGGCCAAGTGGGACTTCAGGGTAGGTCACCACCTGTGTGGGCTCAGGGGTTTTCTACCATGTAGTGGGAGCTTTGGGTCATGGATGTGGGTAATAGTGGCTGTTTTATTTACTAACCTCTTTGTCCTTTTTTTGTTGAAGGGGTTTATCAGGGAAGAGGGTTTTTGTCCCCATTTCGTGCTTGGAGGGATTGGCAAAACCAGGGACTTGTCCAGGACTTTTGCAGTGGCATTATCAGCACAGAACACATGGATTCTTCTCTCCTAGACTCTCAGCTTGCTCGCAGCTCCTGTCTGCAGAGCTCTTGTGCTTTATCTGGGGTGGGGCCACTTTTTGGAGCAGGGAGGTAGATTCCTGTGCTGGGGAAGTGGGGATCCTTGGCACTGCACTGTGAGAACGTCAGGCGTCATCTGAGGCCCAACCTGCCGCTCCTGCAGCCCGTCGGAGTCGCTGCGTGCAGTGTCATACGTGCCGGGTGCTTTCTTGCACAATGGAAGATGCAAATTAGGAAATGCGGGTGAGAAGAGTCCCATAACCAGGGCCCTAACTTGCCTACGTTGCATTTGTTTTGCATTTGGGCCAAACCATGAATGTGCAAACCATGTATGGTGTGAGCAAGAAAGGCGGGTTCATTTGCTTGAGAATGTCACTGGGAATCTGCACATTAGAATTGATTTTTATTCAAATAAACATACATGAAATTCCAGTTGCTAAAAAAAGATGGTTACACTCCTTTTTTTTTGATGCTCAGTTTAGTGCTTACACTTGCCTGTGAGCTTTAAACTTGCTTTTTCTGCTGCAGAAGCAAAGATGTGACTCAACCGCGCTCTACTGGAGAGCCCTGAGTTTGAGTAACGTTGTGTAACAGGCAGTAACTTAACAGAGATCTCAGACCACATTGTTACATCTGCATGAAACAGAAGGAATCAAGCTGCTTATTAATTTAATTATTAATTATTATTTCAAACCACATGACAATTGTTTCTCCCAGCACAGCATGGTATGCTACGGTTACTGTGACTGACTGCTCACCGTGCATGAACATTCCTGTGGGGAAGGTGGAAATCTCACGGCAGTCCTGCAATTCAGAGTGAGAGTTAATTGCAACTCCCACCCTGCAGAGTTCAGAGGAATGTCTGTATTTGCTTCATCTGCAAAAGAAAGAAGTCCTGAGAAAGAGGAGAGCAGTGTCTGTCAGTACTACTTATGTCCATTTATATGAGGAGGATGTTTCATATATATGTACTAGAAGTTAGGTGGTAACTGTCATTTTGTGGGAACCGATGAGATTATGATCGAGTCTGAACAGATTTTCTTGTAGTCACTTCTTAGATTGTCCCAGAAATGAGTAGAGGGACTGTTTGCTGTATCTGACCTTGTGCTCTCCCCTTGTGCCTCTGCTGTGCAGCTGGCTGCAGTTCACTTGGTGGATTCTCACTACTGCACTGATCCTGGCAAGTTCATCTCTGTCCTCTGCACCTCGCTCTCCACCATGCTGCATGTGGAGCTGCCCCACATTAATGTCCTCTCCAAGATGGACCTGATTGAACAATACGGCAAGCTGGGTGAGAACCTTGGCAGAGTGAAACGTGGAGTTGGGCTGGGTCTGGCACAGACTGGCTTTCGCCAGTGTTTCTGGGAGATGGTTGGGGAATAGGTGTAGATTTTGCAAGGTTCTTGGTGGCATATTCTGGCTGGGGAAGCCCCAGTAACTGTAATGTTAGGAGCACAGTTAGGCTAAGATCTAGTGCAAGCAGAAAGATGGACACCTCTGGAGTTGTTTAGCCCACATGAGGGCTGAATCACACTCCAGAGGTGCTGTGCTTTGGAGGCAGATGCTGAGAGGCCCTTGGCTGGTGTTTCCTTGCAGCCTTCAACCTGGATTATTACACAGAAGTCCTGGACCTCTCCTACTTGGTTGATCATTTAGCTTCTGACCCCTTCTTTAAAAACTACCGCCGCCTCAATGAGAAGCTGGTGGAGGTGATTGAAGACTACAGCCTTGTGTCCTTCGTTCCACTAAATGTCCAGGTAATGCAGCAGGAGAAGTGGACAGGGAGTGTTGGACTTGTAGGCAGCGCGTTTAGTAGCAGCTGGGCTGCTGACAGGCATGAGAAAGGATACAACTGCCACAGTTATGCACCAGAATCCCTCACTGCCTCTGCCCCCAAAATCCTGGCTGCAAGAAATAGAGCCATGAGGGATGGAAAGCTTTAATATTAGGAGATGCAGGGGTGGAAAAGGGCAGGGAAATGCACCCAGACTTGTAAATGGCTTGTGACCGCGGAAGGAATAGTAAAAGCTAATGAGACTGGGCCTACATAGGCCTTGCGTCCTGGACAGACTTCTCTTCTGCACCTGCATTTCAATTTTGGGCAAAGTATTACATTGTTGAATTAGGGAGCACAAGATAATTAGTAGATGGGAGGGACACATTTGTGAGGAAGGGCTAAGATGTTCTTTTTACAGCTTGCTGAAGTGGCGACAGAGGGAGATGTGTGGAGAGGTGGCAGGAGGGGGTGAGAGGGTGAAGGGTATTGGCACCTCTTGTACTCAGTGCCTCAGAGGAGATCTAGGGAAGCCCAGTCCCTTCTGCTTCTCGACCTTGCGCTCACTGGCCCACTCTGCAGTGCACACAGTGCTGGCTCTTGCCTCCAGGGATGGCCCAGTGTCCCTGTGTGTCACCTGCTCTACTTCCAGGACAAGGAGAGCATGCGGCAGGTGATGCAGGCGGTGGACAAAGCCAACGGCTATTCCTTTGGAGACCAGGAGCACAGGAGCCTTGAGGCTCTGATGTCGGCAGCAATGGGAGCTGATTTCCACTTCACTTCGTATCCTTCTCCACTGATCTCTGTTGCCTTGAGTTTTGATCTCTCTTTCACGGCTTGGGGAAAGGGGGTTGTGTGTGGAGCTGGCAGTCTGTAGGCCCAGGTTGTTAGTAACATGACATGATGCTGTTTGGTGATATACGTGCAGCAGGTCAGTGCGGCTCAGCCCAGATCTTAGCAGACAGTTGTCCGCACCAAAGCCACCACATTTTTTTTGTTAATTGATGTCTTAAATGTGGGAATAATCTTTTGACATCTTCCCTCTTATTCATGCTCACTTGCACTGTTTCATTCCGCTTTGTCCAAACCATATAATTGATTCCCCTGTAGTTGTCAGGTTTGTGATCAACCAGAGCCAGAAATAACTCAGCTGATGCATGCTGTTACCAGTACTGCTGTCTTCCTGCCAGCCTTTAGGCTAATGTTGGGGTTGGTTCCTTTCTGAGAACGTTAGAACTCCTTGCAGAGAGGAGTGCTTTGAGCCCAGCCCCTACTGTCCTGTTTTCCTTGATTTGCGAGTTATCAGCACGCTCGCGGTGCAGGAGAAGTATGTGCGCTCTCAGGACAAGGCCGTGGAAGAAGAAGTGATGGACATGTAGCACGCATGTCTCTCCCGCAGCCAGTCGCTGTTCTAAGAGCTCTCTCTTTTTTTTAAGGGATTCTCTGTGTCGCTGAATTCAGACCAAGTGAAAGCCTTTGCAGGCAGCAGTTGGGCCCCCTCTCAGTACAGGTTCCATCTCCAGTGCTTCTGCCCCAAGGCACAGAGCTGAGAGCAAGGCAGCTCTTTCCTTAGGAACAAGAGGGATTTAGCCAGGTCAAGGCATGGTTAGCAAGAGAAGCAAGACACAGGACACTGGCCTTTGCCAATCTTCTCCTCCCCATCATGACTAAGGTCGATCCAGGGAGAAAAAAAAAATCAGTTTGAGCTGTCTCTTCTACAATGACTTTTGTAACAAAGGTTCTTGGTTTATGGCATAGGAGGAATGTGCATGATCCTCATATTGAGAGGTGCATCCAGGCTAAGAAGCCATAAATCTGTCTCGAAGAGGACAGAAGGATGGTTGTTTTTCTTTGTTTTAAAAATAATGATGGACTCTTTCTTAATAAAACACTTCTCCATCTCGCTTTCATCTGGTGAGTTTACTGAACCTGAATAAATAAAACTGAGAGTGCTACAAAGCCCGGGGCTAGAAAGCCAGTGGTGGGAACTTCACAGCAGCTGCTGCGTTGTGTAGTTTGCAGAAACAGGCCACGCTTGCAACGTTGCGTTTCCCTATGATCTACCTGAGAACAGACAGAGCATTTGCTGGAGGGAGTGGGGACGAGCACGTGTGGGATGTGAAAGCAGGTCACTTCCCGCGCGCTGCTCTGCAGGGGCTGGGCGCTGCATGCGGCGAGTGCGCGGCGACGCACAAGCTGCCAGCTCGGCTTTCGCAGGCTTTTGATTAAGAAAGACCCTGTGTGACTCAGCAGGAGGTTGGAGCACATTGCTTGCATGAGGGCCCTTCCCCAGCTGCTGGGCTTGCTGCCCTCATCCACCTTCCATTTTTTCTGGACATGGTTTTTTTACAGCAGCTTCTTCAGATCCCGAGTCCTGGGACTTTCCCTGCTCCTGTGTAATTCCCTCTCCGGGTGGCTGTACCTCCTGGCAGGGACGGAGCTGCTCCCAGACTGCACCCCCTGCCGCAGGACAGTCAGCGCTGGGCTAGTTCTTGCATCTCGCTGCTTTTGTGACCAAAACTTGGGGCAATGCAGACACGTAGGTGGCCAGCAGGGAGAAGGGGTGAGAAGACACCCGCTGTCATGCACACACACGACTTTGCACATCAACTGGATCATCATGCTAAGAGATTATGCAGCCATTTCAAATATAAAAGTCAAATTCCCATCTGCTCTCATTTATCAGCTCCTAAGTGCTTTTCCAAAAAGCACAGGGACCTCCCTGGTTATTCTCGATTGTGGTGGCTGCACTTCAGTGTTATCTCAGGCTGGAAGGCTAGAATTCAAGCCGAAAATCAGAGCCAAAATGTTAACCATGTATCTGCGCCTTGCAGACTTTGATCCTATTCATCATGGAGCTCTGTGGTTGCATTGGGGGATGCAAGAAGTGATTATAAAATGAGAATTTTATGGCTGATTTTTATGGCTTTGGGAGATTTGGAGCTTAAAGGGTATTGTCGGGTCAGAGTGATGTTATGAAAGCACCATCAAAGCGTTTGCAGTAGCCGGGCTCTCCTATTTTAATACCCACATGGTGTCTGCCACCCCAGCCCTGTGGGGCTGTGCCAGTGCCAGAGGGAGACTGAAAATCCCGGGAAGCTTCTGCCTGGTCCCAGCCAAGAAACATGGAGCTCCAGGGAGCCAAATCCTGCCCAGGTTGCACTTGGCACAGGGTGGGCTTGGGCAGCTGAATCCGCTCTTGAGCTGGGGCTAAAGCCTGACATCCCCCTCACAGACACCCCACAAGCTGCTCCCTTGCAGGGCATGAGCAGTGCGCCCGCCCCGGCCCCAGGGGCATCAGAGCCCCCCCAAATACTGGTGCATTTATCAGCCCCCAGCCCCACAATGCTGTGAACATCCCTCAGCTCTCCTGTGTAGCCCCCGTGGGAGCCCTCCTGGCCCCGAAAAGCAGCTCAACCGGCCTGGGGGGGCCGGGACGCCTCAGCGCAGCCGCCCACGCGGCCATGCTGCGATTTTGGGCGCTGTCGAAATCAGGCTCCTGCTGCCGCCCGGACACCCGGTTAACTCATCGGCAGCCAGCAGGAGCCCCGGCATCCTGCTGAGTTTGCATGGGGGGTGCCACACTCTGCTGCCCATGTACCCCCAAAACCACTTTTGGGGGGGTGAAAAGCACCCTCCCTCTCAGTCCCCTACTGTCCTCCCCACAGTTCCTCCAGGCCTTGCACCCCATGCCAGTTTAGCCCTGGGTTTGGCTCCTAAATGGGCCCGGTGGGTGAGCGAGGGGCTGGGGAGAAGGCAAAGCAGCCGCACGGGGGTCTCAGGGGTTAATCCCAGCAGGGCCCTGGGGCAACGCATCCTGGGAGAACAGGTTCAGCTCCAGCTTCGCACAGCCCAGCCTCCCACAGCGTCACAGCAGCCAGCGGATTCCCACGAGGCAGGGCCCTGCTGAGCACGCACAGACCTCAGCACAGCAGTGGCAGGTCCCCAGGCAGCTCGAGAGGGGCTGGGGCCCAGCCCAGCCCAAGGAGGATCCCTGGATAGGAATGGGGATGGGGACGGGGGGAGTTTAGCGCCTGCAGGGTACCCGGTTATGCCTCAGGTCCCCCAGTGAGGAAGCCGCTGGGGGAGGGTCGGGGGGGGGGTTTTGCGGGGGTCTCGGCAAAGCGGGCGCCAGCAGCTGAGTCACAGAACGGCTGCTCCCTGCTTTCGGCATCAAAGCCCTGCGCCCGCCCACTGCGGCCCAGCCCGAATCCTCCCTGGATCCGGTGAGCTCATTCCTTGCCCGGGGTGCTGTGACTGCGCTCGCTGCTTAATTAGCTCTTTCGTGTTGGGACCTGCATCGCTGGGGCGGGGGGTGCACAGCCCTGGCGTTGGGGAGAGGGCAGAAATAATGCCCTGTACAAGGCCTGGGTAACAGGGAGCTCCGCTGGAAAACTGGGATGGTGGTCACTGGGAAAAATCCCCCTTGGCTGCAGCAGTTTTCAGGGGAAAAAAAAAAAAAAAACAATGCATTTTATTTCCAGCTCCCACATGGTCTTCATCCTCCTCCTCCTCCCCGCAGAGACGACGCAGAGCACAGAGGCAGGCGTGCACGTGAACGTTTATTGGGGATGCTTTGGCCACCAGCTCAGTGTCCCCTGACCCTGGCCCGGCACCCAAGTGGAAGATGCAGAGCAAGCCAAAAGCCCCGGCCCCCCCCTCCCCACCTTGCCCCGGAGCTTTGCCTGGCTCTGAAAGAATTAAAAAGGGAGAAAAATGGGGGATGAATGTGGGCATCCCACTGCCTTCTCCCACCCTTCCTCCCTGGTGTGCCGGAAGAACCCCTGGATTGGCAGCCGCTGTTCCTGGTGGGACAGGGGAAAAACCGAGACGCCTTGCCAAAAACAAAACAAAACAAAACCATGGAAAACCGGAGATGGGAGGAGGTGGGCACCAGGTCCTGGCCCTGCAGCGGCAATTCAGTTCTTGGGCTCTTCACCAGGCTCACCACCGTCTTCACCCGAGCACTCGGCTGTCCATAGCGTGAGGTTGTCCCTGAGCAGCTGCATGATGAGGGTGCTGTCCTTGTAGGAGTCTTCGCTGAGCGTGTGCAGGTCCCCCATGGCCTCGTCGAAGGTGGTCTTGGCCAGCGCAATGGCCTGCTCAGGCGCGTTGGCAATCTCATAGTGGAAGACAGAAAAGTTGAGGGCCAGCCCCAGGCGGATGGGGTTTGTGGGCTGCATCTCCTTCTTACTGATGTCCATGGCCTCTTGGTAGGCTTTCTGGGCACTGTCAATGGTCTCCTTGCGGTCATCGCCAGTGGCCACCTCAGCCAGGTAGCGAAAGTAGTCGCCCTTCATCTTCAGGTAGAAGACCTTGCTCTCAGCCTCGCCAGCCTTCTTGATGAGGAACTTGTCGAGCAGGCCCAGCACCACGTTGCAGACACTCTTGAGCTCCCCTTCTACCTTCTCCCGGTACTCGTTGACCAGCTGTGCTTTGTCGTCGCCCTCCTCCGTCTTGTGCTCGATGCTGGAGATGACCCTCCAGGCAGAGCGCTGGCAGCCCACCACGTTCTTGTAGGCTACTGAGAGCAAGTTGCGTTCCTCATTGGACAGCTCGTCACCGTGCTCCACCACGGCCTTCATGAAGTCCGCCATGTCCTCGTAGCGCTCGGCCTGCTCGGCCAGCTTGGCCTTCTGCACCTGGTGGTTCCTTGCCATGGTGGTGGTGGCGCGGGGGAAGACGGAGCCGCGACGAACAGGGCCGGCAGCCGTGGGGGCGGATGCCGAGGGCCCCGCCCGGGCTCCGCTTTTGG